CCATTAAGATTCCGATGAAGGAGGCTGTGGATTGGGAGGGATTTTAACAGCCATTGCTAAGCTCTCACTTACTGGATGTGTGTCTAATAAGTGCCCTGTGGCCCCAGGTGACCTGGTCTCTGGCCTTCATTCAAGAGACAACAAGGAGTTCTTTCTCATCTGCTATCCAGAATCTGCTTGATCTACTGTCCTGGGATTTCATGCACAAAGTCAGCTCAGTGGTGCACAAAGGCCGCGTCCTCCTCAGCTTCTCCACAGTCATCTCCACAGGCTGCACCAGGCGATCACTCCCTTCTGGTCTGGATGGTCCGTGAATCAAGACCACCATCGATCAGAAGGCAATTCAGAGCTGTGTGAGAACCCACAGCCACGGTTGTTGTAGTTCTCCTTAGGAACCACGGACGCCCTGTTGCTGGACAGGAAGCAGCTGGAGAGAAGCGTCCCTTCAGTGTTACTCAGGCAGGTTCTGTGTGGGCAGCCCGTGCCTGACAAGACCCTCTCGGCGCAGGGAGCTGCTGAGGGGAGAGCAGTCGGGAAGCGCCTGCCCACCTCCCGTGGACAGGTCTGCAGAGCGCTATCTGGGAACGGGATAAGGCAAACATGGTCGCAGTCACCTGCTCCAGGAAGATAAGTACCGTGCTCTGTAAGCTAAATGCACACAGCAGAAATGTGATTGAAAACTCTGTGATGTGAAGACAGAAAATCACAAGGAGCAGCAGGCAGCATTTAATCTTTGGCTGGATGACAACTCGCGATAGGCTGATGGAGATACCAGGTACCTGATAAGCCGGTCAATACCAAAGATGGGAGATAGAGGGGCAGACAGGGAGGGCGGGACCGGGCTGTTGTCATTCCATCCTCGCTGGGCATGTACAGCAAAACCTGTGTCACCTGCATCATGTTCTTGTACCAGGGACTCTAGAAATCTCCATGTCTTTCCACACACACTTCCCATGGGTGTGTATGCTCCTTGACCAAAGCACAGCCATGACAGACAAGAGGCATGTAGTTAGAGTGACCAGGGACCCTGGGCGGAAGGCTGACCTGCTGAGGACTCTGCTGCCCGGGAAGAGATTTCCCTGGTTGTCACATACATGCAGACCCAGAAAGAACCCGAGAAAGACAGAGCGTGTACAGGGCACAAACCCAGACGAAAGAGCCAGAGAAAGACCTTGTTTTACACAATTGATTCCACACACACAGAGAATAAGCCAAAAGGCTTACTCCTGACGGTGGGCCCAGGCATCCTCATTCTCTGAGCATGTGCTGTGTATATGTGATGAGTGTGGAGTCTGGGTGATGTATGCTTGGGGGATGTGTGTGTGTGTGTTAATATGTGCATGTGTGAGTGTTGGGTTACGTATGTGGGGGTGGTGTTGTGAGTTAGAGGTAGGTTAGTGTGTAAAGATGTGTGTAGTATGTGACTGCTTTAGTGTGTGTTGGCATTATTTTGGGTATGCATGTTTCAGTGCTTTTATGTAGTGTGTGTGGCATAAGTGTGTTAGGGTATATACGTGTGTGGTGTGTTCGTGTGTACTGTGTGGTGTATGGTTTTGGGTGTGCTGTGTGATCGTGTATGATGTGTCAGAGTGCATGTGTGAGACGTATCTTAAGGTGTTTCTCTACTCTGTGTGAGTACGTGTTATCATGTGCTGGGCTGTGTACTATATATGATGCATGTGTGCTGGGGGTGTACTTGTGTGTTAGGATGTGGGTATGTATATGCTGGGATGTGTGTGCTGTGTTAGATGTGTGTGTGCTCTATGTGGTGTGTCCTGTGGGTAGAGTGTGTGCTGTAAAGAGGGATGTTCTCTGTGTGGGAGTGTGTTCTGTGTGTGAGGGCATGTCCGTATGTACGTGAAGGGAGGTGCATGCACACTCACACAAGAGCACCCGTTCCTCACAAAGCGTGTACTGTGGCCCGCCTAGAAGAAATTCGAGAAGATACCTCTGAGCGTGGTTTTCTCATTTCCTTTTAAGTATTAAATAATTCACTCGCCCTTTCCTCTGGAAAAACGTCCAGCAGGAAAGACGTCAGCAAGAGGAGCGCGCTGCCTCAGAAGGAGGCGTCCCTGCCCCCGTGCTCAGCGCCGTCCACGCGGGGACTGCTCGGCCGGCTCCTTTGTGGGTGCTGCCTTGCCCCCCGGTCAGTGTGCACTGGACAGTTGCTGGAGCTGCTTCGCTTGGAGCTCCTTGCGTCTGCCTCCCTCTGCTGGACAGAGACGGCGTCTGGTCAAAGGTCGCTGGGGTGCTTCACACGCGGTCCTGCTCCCTCTTCCAAGAGAAAATACAGATCACAAGTGCAGGCCATGCACGCTTCCTGATAAGCTCAGAGAAATTCAATCCTAGGTCCAACATGAAAGCAGCCTGCAATGGTATTTTTTAATAATTTGGAATGAAAATAACTATATTCTAGACCACAAAGGAGTTTATATGACTACAAATAACTCAGAATGTTTTTAATATGTTCAGTTCACTGTGGCACCGAGCTTCTGAATATTAAATGTTCAGATGGCAGTGCCTGCCCAGCCGTGCCAGGATCTGCTCCACACCTCGCACTGAGCTTGAGGCCCTGCCCTCCACACATGGTCCCACCGACAGCACCCAGCAGGACGGCGCACAGATAATTTCACAGAATCACGTCATTTCCTGACAGATCAGGAGCCATTACGGGCTGCAGTGTAAATTCATATTTTGGCACTCCTTAAAAGGGGAATTATTATTGGTCCAATAGACCATAAACTTCAAAGAAGCCATTACCGCTCAGCGTGTAAATCCTGCCTGGTGGTGTCTGACCGACCCTGTGGGGCCGTCAGCTCTGTCTTGGCAGGTGCTTGCCATGGTTCTACACCAAGAGGAGGTGGTAACACACTCAGGACATGCGGTCAGAGTCAAATGACCATTGTTCTCGCCCAAAATGCACCCCAGCACAGGATCGGCTGTTGTCTGTGCTAAAAAGAGCTTGGAAACTTGAAATGATGGACACTATCACTTGATGTCAAAGTCCCAATGCCTCACCCAGGGGAAAGGGGAGTGTGATGGAGACAGGAGACCATGTTTACCAGGCATGAAAAGAGTCTTCAAGAACGAGGACTGCCCAGCTCCCCACTGAGGGGAGTACAGCCTGCGAGACAGCACGGCATTTTGGGAAGGCAAAGACGGTTTTTGTTTTATTCTACTTGCCTATTTTCTGTTCTTCCACCTGCCTCTTTGCTCCTGTCATAGTGGATAAATTTAACACTGGAACACTTTGCCAGAAAAGCTCCTAGCAGGCTGTGATGTTGTGAGCTGTAGAGTCAAAACTGACCCACAGCTGACCTTCTCCTGAGTTTTCAGAGGCAGTTAATCGCACAGGAGGAGATTGTACATCAAGCAGCTGGTGGCCTCAAACCACATGCCTTCAGGATTGCAGCACAGCTTCTTGCCACTAGGCCACCAGAGCTTCCAACTTCCATAGAAAAATAGAACATCCCTTGAGCCCTCAAGCAGGGGAGACTCCACTGTTTACACCCTCGGGTTGCGGTGCTGTTAGGCACTGGCGGTTTGTTACATGGTGATGTTAAGTGGTGGCTGTGGTGTTAAGTGATGATGATGTGTTATGTGGTTGTGTGTTCTGTTTGGTGGTGGTGGTGTATTATGTGGTGGCCTGTTATGTGGTGGCGTGTTACGTGGTGGTGGTGTGTTATGTGGTGGCGTGTTATGTGGTGGCCTGTTATGTAGTGGCGTGTTATGTGGTGGTGGTGTGTTATGCGGTGGTGGTGGTGGTGGTGGTGGTATGTTATGTGCTGGTGA